TTATGGCATAATAGATTAGTACATGTTAATTTTAAGTCAATCAAAAGTTTAATTTATTTAGAGTTATTGCCTAAATTTGAATGTTTAAATAATAAATGTCAAATGTGTGTTGAATCAAATTTTTTAAAATTACCTTTTACTTCGATTGAAAGATCAACCGAATTGTTAGATTTAATGCATATTGATATGTGATATGAAATCTGTACCATCTAGGGGTAATAAGAAATATTTTATTACTTTTATTTATGATTGCGGTATATAATGTTATATTTACTTACTTAATAGTAAAGATGAAGCAATTGTAGCTTTTAGACAATATAAAAGTGAAGTTGAAAATCAACTTAACAAGAAAATTAAAGTAGTAAGGAGCAATCATGGGGGAGAATATAATAGCCCCTTCAAAGAATTTTGTATAGAGTTTGGTATTATATACCAGACAACTGCTCCGTATGCACCACAATCAAATGAGATTGCATAGAGGAAAAATCGAATGTTGAAGGAAATGATGAATGTTATATTGATCACGTTCGATTTACCACAAAACTTGTGCGGGAAGCCATTTTGGCGACTAACTATATTATTAATAGAGTGCCCCACAAGAAGACAAAGAGTATATCATACTAAGTATGGAAATGAACGAAACAAAAAAAAATTATAAAGTGAAATAGGAAAAACCTGAATAATGAGATTGAATGCGAAGAACTCAATCGGTCTTTGATGGAAGAACCAAGGAAAGAATTTGAGGTGCCATATACGAATTTTTCGAGTTTCGCAACCTTAAATCTAAAACCAGAAAAAGAAAAACTTAGGAACAAACAATGAGACGAAAATGTGAAAGCAATCTACGACCTTGAACAACACATGGAGAGCAAAAGAGATTAACATTAACGATTTAGGGGAGAAAGGTGTTTTACCGAAAAATGTGAGCTTGTTAAAAGAAAATGTCGTGCCTAAATAACACACATCACAATCATGGCTAAAATGTCGTGTCTAAACACCGCATTTGTTCTAGAGTATGCTCTCTCACATAAGAGTTCATTAAATGATATATGAGATTCAGTTTATTTTTACTAAGAAATTTCATAATATTTAATTATTTTTATTAATAAAACAGAGACATTGCCACTTAATTATGTCGATCGACTTTTTTTTTTTTTTTGGTAAATACGTATTGTCTTTGATACATGTAAACAACAATCTCATCTAAAAACTCAAACTCTGAAGTAAAGGTCTATTAATAATTTTATATTAACAATGTGTATAATTTTTTTAAGTCACAATACATTAAAATTATTCACAAAATTTTAGTTTAATCAAAACGAGTCTCATTTAACCTAATAGTTCACAAGTGGCCTAGTGGGCTTTCCTTCTTGGACTCCGATCAAGATTGAACAGTTCTTTGTTATTTATTTTTTTGGATACAAGATTGAACAGTTGTTGTACAACTGGAATCGTGTGAAGGCATCCATAATTCTAAAGTTAAATTATTTTCTTAAGCACGTCTCCACAGTCAAGATTGTAGTACCTTGGCAGATTTGTTTCCATATTAGAATAAAAGACAATTAACACGGCGAAAATAGCAAAATTCTGGCTAACACAGAACGAAAGCGCGCAGTCAATTAATGAAATTGTCATATTCAAGCCTCATACGTTTAATTTATCAATATTTTTATTTGATTGATGACTTGTATTTTTTGTACCCATGAGATGACACATAGGAACGTGGAGAATTTAATGTGGGTATGGTAGGAAAGAAGGAAGAACAAAATGCAAGCAATGAGAACGTAAATACAGTTTAGTCAGGAAGGGGGCGCTGATAAAGGTACGGTATAATTTCATATAAATTCCAAAATGCGAAGCATAGTATAATTTCATATCTTGTTGAAGGATGGAAAGGGAATCCTCATGCTTCAGTTCCTCATGTGCACGCACAATTGTGTCAATATTTGTTACAATCCTTCTCCTATTTCAACAAAATTGCAACGCTAAGCATAACCCACCATGTCCTCCTTCTTCATGCGGCAAAATTACCAACATATCCTATCCCTTTCGACTCAAAGGCGAACCAACCTCCTGCGGCGACCCAAACTACGAGTTAGACTGCGACAACAACGCTACATTATTAACTTTGTTTTCAGGAAAATACTATGTTCAAGACATAGATTACAAGAGATACAAAATCCAAGTGAGTGATGCGGGTGCTGTGGAGGATGCTACTTGCTCCATCCCTCGCTATTTCTTATATGAACGCACTTCCAGAGACATCATTGGTCCAGATGATTTACATAAAAAATATATAAACAAAGTTGGTCCAGATGATTTTGGATCAGAGCCGTTCATTTTGGATGGCATAGATCCTACGAGAATAGCGTACTTTAACTGTACCAATCCAATCACTGATGATCCTCGATATGTGAAGGTGGGTTCGAGTTCGAGTCATTGTGGCCGCGGAGGGCATGTGTATGCGGTTGTGGAACCAACATTGTTTGAGTATCGTACGATTGACATCAAGGTTGGGTGTCGTCTCATGGTGGCTACCTGGGCAAATACGAGGCTGCCGGAATCATCAAAAGGGAACGTCTCGTATGATTACATCCATAGGATGCTAATTGATGGATTTGAAGTGTCGTGGTTACCTGTTGTTTGTGATGATCGATGTGGAAAAGGGACAAATTGCCAGGTTGTCAATGAATCCAACGGAGAAGTCCAATGTGACAGGCACTACTGTCATTACGCCTACCATACAACCGATAAATGCGGTGATGCCCACTTTCTCTATCCCTTCCTTGAGTATTTTTTTAATCATTATTTATATATTATCCTTTATTGAGCTCACAACTTGTCATATTCCGTGCTGACCTATTTCCCTATCACTGTCCCACTTCTTTATTTAAAGGAGGTAGAGAATCAGTGATTCTAAATTGTCAACAATGAATTAATTTTGTTACCTTATATACTTACAATTTCATTAGTGTTTATTTTCTTGACCAAAAATTAAACAAATATATAAATAACAATTAAAGCTTGGAGTAAATACTCTTTTTGATCCCTAACAAAAAAAATACAATTCTCACTTTAGTCTCTTACACAAAAAATTTAGTCAGTTAGTTTCTATGAAATTCAAAGTGGACTCATTTTAGTCCTTTTAAGGAATTAATGTGAGTCTTTTTTTTGAATTTGTGAGGGACCACGATTTCAACTAAATGGATTCACTTTCAATTTGTTAGGGACCTCGAGACTAATTTTTTTTTGTAAGAAATTAAAGTGAGGATCGTATTTTTTGTTAGAAACCAAAAAAGATATTTACTCTAAAAGTTTTGATTATAAGTGTGCTTTACTACATGACTTAAGTATGCTATTATGTTATATACAAATAGGAAAAACATTTTCTACTTTTAAAGGAGAAATTTTTTTTCTCACTAATGACTCATAACATAAGAGTTTCACCTTAAATTTTTTTTCTCTTCATTATTTTGTAGATCATACTTATCCTTTGAGTCAAAAGAAGAAAATGTTTTGTCATACGAATAACAGGAATATTGATATGCTTGTTTATGATCTTATATTTTCTTGTATCATTGCAAGAAAATTGTCAACCGTTGGAAATAAGAATTGCAACCGATGGCTTACCGGCAACTTCAACGCCATTGGTATATCGCATGTTGGTAATCTTTAGCAACGGTCATGAGAAAACAATGTGTAATACCAGTGACTTGTATAATTGTATTCCAAACCAGCCGCCAAAAAAATAAAACGAGTGAAAACATAAAGATTCAACGGTAATCATTTTCGGTTGGACTAACACTGTTATGCTGAGTTCTCTCGTGTTAAATAAAACATGTCACATAAAAAAATTATAATTATATAAAAATAGATCAATAGTAGTAAGGAAAGAGAGAGAAAAATATTAAAATAAATAGTTATAAAATTATTACCGTTAATTTAACTTTGGATAATTATAATTTCTCTACATAATATGTCACCAACAGTTTAATTAGTGATAATATTACCGACTTCATTCAACAGTACTGTTATTATCCAAGATAAGTATATTCTTATGCATCATTCAAGATTATCATGTGAATTTTATCCGAAATGGACATGTTTATATATATTTACACAAATCAATTAATGTTTAATTGTTGCTCCAAGTCTTTTCTTTCATTTCCAGAATTTCATTATAAGCTAATATTATTGTTATGGGGTATTTCAGGACTTCCGCAACAGATGTTTGGTTATACTCGAGGTAAGGACTCCTTTGCATCTTTATTCTTTCTCTGAGAACTTGTTGGATTTTTCTTAAGTGAAGTAATACTAATATTTAAAACTTTTAAGCAATTCGAATTTGATATAAATTATACGTCGGACCTATTCTTGGATATATTGGGGAACAGGATAACAATATGTATCTATGCTTAATATATGCAAAATGTCGAAGGCATATAAGTTCAAAATATTGTCGGTTTTTACATTTTATCCTTGGAGAGAATTCTTACAAGCTGTATAGTCAATAGAATTATTTCCAATATAAATTGATATATGTTTATTTATGACAGTTAATGATGATTTCGTGGTAGATATAACTACAAATATTTTGTTAACTTACATTTGGTAGAATAGGTTCATTTCTCTTTTATTTGTCTCTCTTTCAATACTCATTTCTTCGAAGTTATTTTGAATATGTGTATCATATCATGTATTAATTTACTTAGCCTTCTTTTTTCCTTTTGTTTTGCAGCTTATCTTAGGGGCATTATTTTTGGTAAGAATCTTCTATCTATTTCCACAAAAATTAATTTAAATCATAAAATAATTGTCATCAGATTTTATGGATCAGTCTCAAAGTTATTATGGATCAGACTGAAGCATGTTCCTTCTCCTGACTCTTACGATGACATATCTGCGCAGGAATACTCAGTAGAATAACATTTAGCACAAAACAATTAGACAACCCAGTTGGGCTACAATATTTTGATGGAGGATTATTCATAGGACGAAATGTTCTGCCATTATTCGTTGCAGCCAGATGTATGTTTGGAGTTGCACTTCTACTTGGGCTATTGATCTACAAATGGAGAAGAAGACATTTGTCAATGTATGAAAACATTGAAAACTTTTTGCTAGATAGCAATCTAAATCCCATTAGGTACGAATACAAAGAAATAAAGAGGATGACCGGAGGTTTCAAAGTGAAATTGGGTCAAGGAGGCTTTGGCTCTGTATACAAAGGAAAGCTCCGAAGTGGACCAGATATAGCAATAAAGATGTTAAGCAATTCCAATGCCAATGGACAAGATTTTATCAATGAAGTAGCTACCATCGGAAGAATACATCACGTGAATGTGGTGCGTCTTGTTGGATATTGTGTGGAAGGAAAAAAGCGTGCTCTAGTTTATGAATACATGCCTAATGGGTCATTGGATAAATACATTTTCTCTAAAGAAGGAAGTGTCCCTTTAAGTTATGAGAAGATATATGAAATATCTCTTGGAGTAGCTCGTGGGATTGCATATCTGCATCAAGGCTGTGATATGCAAATTCTACATTTTGATATCAAGCCTCATAATATTCTTCTTGATGACAACTTCATTCCAAAGGTGTCAGATTTTGGACTTGCAAAGCTATATCCTGTGAATGATAGCATTGTCACTTTAACTGCAGCAAGGGGAACTTTGGGTTACATGGCTCCAGAGTTGTTCTATAAAAATATAGGAGGAGTATCTTATAAGGCTGATGTCTATAGCTTTGGAATGCTTTTGATGGAAATGGCAAGTAGAAGGAAGAACTCAAATCCAAAGGCAGAGCATTCAAGTCAAGTTTACTTCCCATTTTGGATCTACGATCAATATGTAGAAGAGAAAGATATTGAAATGGAAGATGCCTCAGAGGAGGAAAAGACTCTAGCAAAAAAGATGTTCATAGTTGCACTTTGGTGTATACAGTTGAAACCGAGTGATCGTCCTTCCATGAACAAGGTAGTAGAGATGCTTGAAGGGGAAGTTGAAAGCCTTGAAATGCCTGCAAAGCCTTCTTTTTATCCAAATGAAACGATTGGACATGATGATGGAATGAACTCTGACCAAACATCGTGGAGTGATTCTACTTGTTCTGATATGTATATTGGTGAAACCATAACTAATAATTCATTGGAGAATGCCGCTTGACAAACACTGGTAATCTAACTCGAATTAAGTATGAGGGTGACGAATTATCCAAATTAGACTCGAGATTCATACTTGATGGCGCTGAACAACTGGATTAGTGCCAAAGTTTGGTTCTTGTTAATGTGGGGAAGGTTTGCGGTTCGACATGGTGGCTGCTGGATGGCTTGTTATGGCGTGATCTATATCATGTGCGATTCCATTCTGTGGTAAAGAAATGTGTGGCTTGGCTGCAAGTCTTCAACACATTATTCTGTCCTTCATTATTTATTTATTTTGTCTTTTTTGGTGCAACTGTAATTAATTCGACCTTATTATATTTGGAAAGTGTTTTTCATTTAACTTTTGTAACAAATATCAATGAGGTAGGTTCATTGGTTTTTCCACTTAGAAAGGTAAGATTTTACTAATAAAAATGAATGGAGATCCATAGTGCAAGCAATTGGTAACAACCCAATACCACTTCCCACTAGAAGGATCATAACCAAATACAAGGATTAGTCATTAATCTAGGTATCATGATCCATCAATCGCTAAGGAGTAAATGCTCTATCGATTTCTTCCTCTTCTGAGCAAAATGGGAAGCTCGCTTTAGGTATTGTGATACATCGCTAAGATCAACTCAGTCAGCCTAGCAAATTGATTCACCCAACCGTGCGTTTCATAATGTGCATAAATACTAAAAATATCCCATCTTTTCTGTGAGTAGATTTCTTCCACTGAATTGAATGAAGAAATTCTCATGATGGTCTACTATTATTGATACATTGACTTTCCATGCCATGAAAATTCCACCAGCCGCTACAACACGATCTACCATAAAGAAACGGTCAAAAATGCATTTGCTAGCAGAGATTGTTAACTTCCATTATAAAGGCCACATCAGGGGAAATTAACACTGTTGTGAATATTAGTTTAGAATAGTAGTTTACTAGTCCCACATCATGTATATCTCTTTGTACATCCTTTCTTTTCAGTTATATAATAGACTCTCCGCTGTGTAGTCAAGACACACGAATTACTCACAACCTCTCGGGTCCTGATATTTAACATGGTATCAGAGCCTCGCCGTCCCCCACTTTCTCTTGTGGAGTTTCTTAGCACAGGTAGGTTGGGCCTGTTGCATTGTCCACTCTCCAAGCCCAATGGGCTCTTGTGTGAGAGGGCGTGTTGAGATATATAGTCCCACATTGGTTGTATGTACAACTAATGTGGAGTTTATAAGGCCTTGGGCACTCCCACCCTTTGAGCTAGCTTTTGGGGTGGTGTATCCCAAGGTTCTTTACATGGTATCAGAGCCTAACGAGAGGAATTTTAATCTACGTCTGTCTGGTGGAACTACTGTTCATCGAGTAAAATTTTTCTTTTCGGAAGCTGTCACACCGACAGTATTCCGGCCACCGTCAGCCACCGTCCTCTGGCGTTCGTTTTTGTCAAAGCATACGTCAGCGGACTCAGAAGGAGCCGATCTACGCAAAGCCGAAGGACCCACCGTCATAGGTGGCCCCACGCTCTCTGACGCGCCATTTTCTTCTCTGCGTGGCCAACACGCGCCACCTTCCTCCGGCGCGTGCGGTGTTTTCCAGCGGCCGTTTGCCGTCGATCAAGGACAGACTTGGTCACCCAGCCGTTCTCTTTCCAGATCAGCCTTCACCTCGTTCAACCGACTTCATTTGGATCCAGTTCACAGTTCCTGTCCCTTGATCGTGTTGCCTTTGTTCGTGTGCTGCTGTTTGAAGCCAGCAACAATCGTTCGTTCCTGTTCTCTGTAACACCCCGTTCTAGAACCGGTTTGTTGACATCACAATATGATATTAAGCGCAGTTACAATCACATGGGTTCAATTAAAATCCGGATAAATTTTTCATTTTAAAACGTACCGAACTTATAATACCCAATTTCGTGATCATAACCATATTACCTTGCGGAAACAGATAAATTAAGCTTAACATCATGTTCATTTCCCATTTTTAAATCATTAATTTACTTCTTGTTTAGTTCAATACTTCTACTATATTGTAGGTTTCTTCATTAGCTACCTGTGGCTTCAAACCGTGCTCAAATCGGAGCACTGTAGCCCAAGTTAGGACCATTTGAAGCAACACAAGAGAGTGTTGGTCACAGGCCCCGCGCGCTTCAGCGCGCTACCGGGCGCTCAAGCGCGCGCTATCGGGCGCTAAAGCCTCCATCTGGGCGCTTAAGCGCACGGAGGCAGTAAGCATCAGGCATTCCAGTGTGGATGGGCGCTTAAGCGCGCAACAGGGCGCTCAGGCGCGCTATCCTGGGCGCTCAAGCTCCCACGGGGACGTTTTAGCGCGCAGAGACAGAAGCATCTCCTCCTTCAGTGGCGAAGGGCGCTTAAGCGCGGACCAGGGCGCTCAAGCGCGCAACCCTGGGCGCTTAAGCCCCACCCTGGGCGCTAAAACACGAGGGGGCAGTAAGCCACCCAACTTTCTGCAGCAAGGGGCGCTTAAGCGCACGCCAGGGCGCTCCAGCGCGCAATCCTGGGCGCTTAAGCCCCCACTTGGGCGCTCCAGCGCGAGGAGGCAGAATGCATTGGCACTCGCAGGGGCAGCAGGGCGCTTGGGCGCGCTCCTGGGCGCTTAAGCGCGCTGCCAGGGAATTCCAATTCCCACATTTCTCAAGTCCAAGCCTAGGGGAAAATGCATCCCCATTACAAACCACAAATGTCCATGCCCCAAAACTAAATCCTAGCACTCATCCAACCTCTCCTCATGAGATTTAGCTAGAATTTGGGCAGCATGACCTTTGTTTTCTCATCGTTTACCAGTTTAAACGAAGAGGGTACCTAATTGATTTTCAGCCCAACCAATTCAACAACTCAATACATAACAAGCATGCATATATTGAATTCCAAGTAGGCATCATTTACATTACATATCCTTTACAAATCATAGAACTTAGCTTACAAAACACTATGATCATTCCCTTGGCTCCCATCAACAAAAGGTGTAACCAAAGGCATGAGCATAGGCTAAGTTCATCCAATGAATCAAGATATACAAATGATCATGGGCTTTCAAAATAAAATCCTATACATGTCAACTACAAAAGGCATGCATAAACTCAAAGAAGTGCCATATTTCATGCATAATCTAGGTATGGCCACTTGCCACCAGAGGCTCCTGCAGCATCCTTACCTGAAAGGGGGTCCCCACAACACGGGGTGAGATATACGAATATATCCAGTAAACCAGGGGTCCTTGGAGCATCTCTCCACCCCACAGTTCCATATCAGTGTAATAGCAATAACAATAATAATGCAGTAAATACATATCTATGCAAAGTGCAATACATCTCCAGGAGAAATCCCTCGAGCTCTCAAGCTGTCCTAAGGAAACTCAGATGCAAATAGTCCTACTGGCCAGCTAACTACCAAGTATGATTTACGCATCGTCATGCCACATACCAACATAGGGAAACACCATCCTATGCCACACCAAATGCATACACATACGTATAACAAAGCATTACACTATTTTATTGCATTTATATACACAATCACAACCTCCACCCTTTCAGGGCTTGGTAGAACAGTCAAGGGAATTACACCCAAGGTCCGAAGGCTTACCTCAATGCTTCAGTCAACCTTTGTTCTTCACCAACAGTTTCAGCAATCAACTTTTACAAACATACACCTACACATGGTGTAATGCAATCAACACATTGCATCCAAGAGTATTTCACAATCAACCATCAATTACTCAATTCAAAGCACAACACAAGTATGAGCTTACCAATTCCAATGAGCTATTCAAGCTCCATAGCTTGCTCCAATGGTTGATCACTCACGGTTGGTCCAAATGTCTCAATCCTAGACATCACAAGGATCCAATCAATCATTCAACTCACTAATTGTTCAACATGCTAGAATACTAACCAATCCAAGCATGAATTTTCCAATATTATGAACAATTATCAAATGACTATCTAGGCTCATTTCCACCGATTAAATGACATTCCTAGCATTTTCCATAACATGCTCTAAGCTCCATTCTTCCTAGAACATAGCTAATTCAACTACATTTCATAAAAATCCCAATTTACTATTCACAAACCCTAACTCATGCAAATTTCAAGGAATCATGAGGTTCAAGGGTTAGAATCTTACCACCAATGGTCACACAACCAAGGATTGATGGCTCCTCAAGCTTCAATGGAGGTAGAAACTCTCAAAACCCCAATTTTCACCAAAGGGCCGAATTTTTGAGAGCCAATATCCCTCCCCACAATGCTCCCCACTCAAAACAAAGTTAGGATTATGAAAGAGGGGAAGATTCTAAGCAATTTAGGCTTTTGAATCACTCAAATCGGTTAAGGTTTCCTCTCTCTCTCTCTTTCTCTCCCTTTCTCTCTCCTCCCTCCCTCTCTCTTCTTCTTCTCCTTCTCTCTGTTTTCTGTCGACGGGAATTGGGTGGGAAATGGGGGTCATTTGGTGACTTAAGTCACTTAACATAGGTTAAGTGGCTCTAAGCGGGTATTGGTTCGTCTATCTATTTAACTCCAATAATTACCAAACTTTACCCAAAAGTCTGGAATATTATTCTAGGAATATTACTATTTTTATTTTTATATTTTGGGTACTTTTGACAGTACCCATTTATACCCCTTAATTTTCACTGAGTACACTTTTTAACTCCAAAGTGACTCAGATTCATTTTATTAAGCCTCATACTTAATTTCACCCAGTAAAACATGTTTAATTAATTAATTACACTTGATTTCCTAATTAATTAATATGGGCTATTATAGTCACCCCACCTTTTAGCGATTTTGTCCGCAAAATCAAGAACGTACCTGTCCTTAAACTCAGGATATTGCCGGAGAAGCTCATCTTCCCGCTCCCAAGTGGACTCTTCAGGCGTCCTTCCTTCCCATTGGACTTTCACCATAGGAATAGATTTATTTCTCAGCTTCTTCTCATCTCTTTCGAGTATCTTCAGTGGTCCAATAGGAGTCTTCAAATTCTCCCGGATTTCAACATTATCAGGTTGAACCACATGAGAAGGATCAGCTACATATTTCCTCAGCTGAGAAACATGAAACACATCATGCAAATTTGCCAATTGCGGAGGTAAGGCAAGCTGGTAGGCAACCGGTCCCACCCTACGAAGAATCTGGTAGGGTCCAATAAATCTCGGACTCAGCTTCCTCACTCCAAGGGCTCGTCCCACACCCGTAACCGGTGACAGCTTCAGGAACACATGATCTCCCTCCTCAAACTCTAGAGGTCGATGCTTGAGATCATAGTAACTTTTCTGACGATCCTGAGCCTTTTTCAGACGATCCCTAATCATTTTGATCTGCTCAGTAGTCTCCTGAACAAAATCCAATCCAAACCGCTCTGTGTCTCCAACCTCTGACCAACAAGTAGGTGTCCTACACCTGCGACCATACAAGGCCTCGTAGGGAGCCATACCCAGACTAGCATGGAAACTATTATTATATGAAAACTCAACCAGTGGGAGATATCGATCCCATGCAGTACCCTGCTCCAGGGTGCAAGCCCTCAGCATATCCTCCAACGTCTGAATGGTCCTCTCAGTCTGACCATCCGTCTGTGGGTGATAAGCAGTGCTCAGTCTCAACTGAGTGCCAAGAGCCTCCTGCAATGCTCCCCAGAAGCGAGAAGTGAACTTCGGGTCCCGATCGCTAACAATGCTTTCAGGCACCCCATGAAGCCTCACAATCTCCTTCACATAGAGCCTAGCCAATCTCTCCGCAGAGAAATCTACCCGAACTGGCAAAAAGTGTGCGGATTTTGTCAATCTATCCACTCACCCATATAGAATCATAACTAGCCTGTGTTCGCGGCAATCCCACTACGAAATCCATGGAGATACTCTCCCATTTCCATTCAGGAACATCCAGAGGTTGCAACATACCAGAAGGCTTTTGATGCTCAATCTTTACCTTCTGACAAATGAGACACTTAGAGACAAATTCGGCAATGTCTTTCTTCATACCAGGCCACCAAAAATTCATCTTTAGGTCCTGATACATCTTTGTAGCTCCCGGATGAACTGTAAAATGACCCTTATGAGCCTCTGTCATCACTTCTTCCGCCAACTGCCTAGGTACAACTACACGACCCTGATATAATAGTATACCCTCATCATTGCAGGATACACCACTCTGACCTTTTAGTCGTCTAGCACTTTCATTTTGCAGCTGGGCTTCTTTGATTCTGGTCATCAGTTCATTCTCAATGCTCGTGATTTCAAAGCCACAAATTTTACATGGAAAGATTTTAGATAATTGAATATCTCTGAACCTCTCTATCACATCATAATCTCTAATCATCATGCTTGATATGCTCACAGATTTACGGCTCAGTGCATCAGCTACAACATTAGCCTTGCCAGGATGATATTTCAATTCAAAATCATAGTCTTTTAGGAACTCGGTCCACCGTCGTTGTCTCATATTCAGCTCCTTCTGATCAAACAAGTATTTCAAACTCTTGTGATCGCTGAATATTGCAAATTGCATTCCATACAAGAAATGCCTCCACTGTTTCAACCCAAAAACAATTGCAGCAAGCTCAAGGTCATGGGTTGGATAATTTTCTTCATGCGGTTTCAATTGCCTCGATGCATAAGCTACCACTCGCCTATCCTGCATCAGCACACATCCCAATCCCTTCTTGGAAGCATCGCTGTATAGCTCAAATTCACCTTCCGGGTCGGGAAGTACTAACACCGGAGCGGTCGTCAGTTTCTCCTTAAGGCTCTGAAAGCATTCTTCACATTCTTGTGTCCAAACAAATGGAGTATCCTTCCGGGTCAAACGGGTCAATGGCAACACCATGGCTGAAAATTCTTTAATGAATCTCCGGTAATAACCAGCCAAACCCAGAAAACTTCTTATTTCTGTTACTGTCTTGGGTCTCTCCCAATCAACAACTGCCTCTATCTTGCTAGGATCAACCGCTACTCCCTCAGCAGAGATAACGTGACCCAGAAATTGCACTTGAGAAAGCCAAAATTCACATTTAGAAGGCTTTGCATATAACTGTTTCTCTCTGAGAATTTGCAACACAGTTCTCAAGTGACCTTCATGCTCTTCCTTACTCTTCGAATATATCAGGATATCATCAATAAACACAATCACGAATTGATCCAGAAACGGCTTAAATATGCGATTCATGTAATCCATAAACACCGCAGGAGCATTAGTGAGTCCAAATGGAATTACTTGATACTCATAATGTCCATATCTAGATCGGAAGGCAGTCTTCGGAATATCTTCCTGCCTAATTCGGATTTGATGATAACCGACCTCAAATCAATCTTTGAGAAGACACAAGCACCCCTCAACTGATCAAGCAAATCATCTATGCGAGGGAGAGGATACTTGTTCTTAATGGTAACCTTATTCAACTGACGGTAATCAGTGCACAATCTCATGCTACCGTCCTTCTTCTTAACAA